GCAAGACAGATGTGTGGTAGAACAGTTCGCTTCTGATCCGTGCCCCCCTCTGCACCCAGCAATCTAGATTTCAGAGCTGGGGTGAGCGAGCCTCGTATCTGGGTAAAGAAGGAGGTGTGGGGAGCTCAGGGAGCCAACCTGCCTGGGGGGCTTCTCATGAGAGTGAGAGGGACAGGTGTTAGCATGGGAGGGTAAGTGGAAACTGGAACTTCCTGCAGGGCATTTTAGAGCTGGCTGTTTAATAGACAGGAGACACAGCAACTTTCCAAGGCTGCAGGCCAGATAGGAGGGCCCAGGCCAAAAGCCTGAGGAGGTAGATGAGCAGGTGGGATGAGCAGCCAGCAGTTTCTCCAGCTCAGCCTCCAGGGAGCACCGCCCACATCCTCACATTGATGCACCCTGTGGGACCTTGAGAGCTCACCTGGAGAGGCTCCGTCCAAACTCCTGCTACAGAAAGCGGCCAGGTGAGCAACGGGTGCTCTGAGCTGTTAAGTATGCAGTCGTTACGGGGCAATAGAAAATGAATGCAACACACAGATCGCTGGGGGACAGCCGGGGACCCGGAAGCAGTACAGAGCGCTTAATGCGTGCTAGGAACTCCGCTAAGATTGTACGCGCCTGTGGTTTGCTAAACCTGCCAGTGTGTTACTTTCATGGTAGAAGTGTTCTCCTGAGCAGAGGTGAGCAGGTCACCTCATGGCCATCTGCATGCAGCTTCAACCAGACAGCACAATTTACACCTTCTAAACCCCAGCCTGGGGGCCCTTCTTCAAGGACTGCCCTCACTTACTGCCAGCTGGGTTTTAGCAAGTATTGTGAGGACTCCTGACCGTCACCAGACGGGGCCAGGCCTGGCGTCATTTCACACCCATCCTCTGGCTCCATTCTCAGTGGAGTGACTCCCGAAGGAGCAGGAAAGGTCATGGCTCTCTCATTTGGTAGAAAAGTTTATTTAGGGAAACACAGCACATCTTTAACACTCCATGCACTGGGGTCTGCAGACACGGGAGCAGCCGTGACTGGGAGCAGCCGTGACTGGGAGCTCTTCACTCTGAGCTGAAGTCGGCACAGTGGGCCAAGCGCCTCCCACGGAAGCGGTAGGTTGGGCTTTCCCACGTGACACCATCGTTTGTTCCCCTCTTTTGGACTTCGCAGAACAAAACTGAAGATGAGCTTAGCGTTCAAAGTCACTCTTCATCGACTCAAGTGTTTTTAACCAAGTGACACAGAAAAAAAGGTACATATTTTTATTGAAAGGTTTAAGAGAAATTTAATCATTAGAAACGTAACTTAGCCAGGTACAATGGCACACGAGTTTAATATACCAGCACTAGGGAGGCAGAAATAAGTGGATCTCTAAGTTCAAGGCCAACCTGGTCTACAGAGTGAGTTCCAGGACAAGCCAGGGCCACACAGAGAAACCTAAAAAAAAAAACCCCAAAAACGAAATTCTGTAGCCTGGCTACATAGAGAAACCCTGTCTCAATCCCCTCCCCTACACACATACAAAACAACAACAACAACAACAAAACCAACTTCCCCTCCAAAGGGAAATTTAAATTATACACAGAACACCACTGTATTGAATGCTATGTCCTTTTGTGTGTGGGGGTTGCTTGTCACACTGCAGAATCCTACAGTTTTCTCCTGCGGGGGAGCAAGGAAAAGAGTCCCTCAAGACACAAGAAACTTTGTAGCTTTCAGGAACCTAAGAACAATTACTGATGAAAACCTGCATGCTTCAGCGACAATGTACTTACTCCACAGCTAAAGAGATCCAGAAACACAATAGGTCTAATTTAATGAGGGAGGAAAAGGAACTACAAATTAGCACCCATTATATTCCACATTTGACACAATAGCATTGTCATCAATTTTTTTAAAAGAGGTTTCACTGTTCTTGTGAGAAATAAGGAAATGTCAATGATCGCCCCAAAGGAGACGCTCATCTCAGTGCCCCAAGACACAGCAATTGGTAATGGCATATTTTAAGCCCCGGCTGGCTCCATCAAAAGGTTTATTCTGTACTGCCAGGATCTTTAAAACCCCCACATCCCTAGTCACTGCAAGGCAACCTTGAACTCACGCTGAACTTGGAGCGTGGTCATGACCCATTTCACACCAAAAGCTAAGAAGCACCAGTGTTTCCAGGGAAAGGCTATGTCTGCCTCTGCCGCACTCCTACTAGTCACTGGAATGAGAGCCTTCCCACTCTCCTGTGGAGGACCAGCCTCTCAAGTCAGAGATCCCTAGTTTCCCTTGCTCGCTCTCTGAACAGAGAGCACTTGGACCTTTGCGGTTCTGACACATGTAGAGTAAGCCAAGCAGCATGTGTATCGTGAAATGTGTAGCTATCCGTCTAGTCCATAGGGGCTAGGTCTTGGGTGGGAACCAGTATGTCCCGACAGGTGTTTACACATGTTAAACATTCGAAACAGACCTGCCAAACAAGTGCAGGTTTCCAGCCCCTGACAGTGCCACTGAGAAGCAGGGCGATCCTCTGTAAGCTGTATGTTGTGCCCTGCTCTCCAGAGACACAACAGGGAAGAAAACGGGAAGGTGCTAGCCTTGTGACTCCAGAGAAAACAAGATCAATGCCAGTTGCCTGTGACTCCAGGCTAGAGGCTGCCCATGTCACTGTGACTAACTTTGAGTCTGACTCTAGAAAATGAAGGTAACAAAAAGGCATTCTCTCAGAAATACAAAACCACGACTCAACTAACTGAACATACAGTGTATCAGGCTAAAGGCAGCAGCCTTCTCAAGGACAAGGCCCACTCACGCCTGGTGGAGGCCCTGCTCCTCGGGAAGCACAAGCGACAAGATTTGGGTCTGTTGTAACTTTAAATAGACCCCACCCAGAGCTGGAAGGCCTCTACACTGCAGACCTTTTTTTTTTTTTTTGCCCATTGGTAAAATGGTGAATGTGCCAGGACACTGCTTCCAGAATGATCTGTGTGAATTTGGCTTGGAAACGTCAGTAGTCCACTAAGGCTGGAAACAAGGTCAGTGGCCCCACAGTGGTCATTCAGGACCTGTTACATCTGCAATAAAAGGACGAGTGCTTACAAAAGCATCCCTCCATCTCTAGAGAAGTGCTCACAGCCAGCAAGCCAGCAGACGGAGGGAGGGGTTAACTCCGGCCAAAGAGCACTCACTGCCGGGCATCAGTATAGCAGCCCTCTGGAGCTACAAAGTCTGCGGCAGCACCATGTACCCCCGCAGGCTCCTCCGCTCGTCCTGGAGGTGGTGAAGCAGCTGCAGTTCAACTGCTCAAAACCACGGGTGCTGCTCCGTTTTCGGCTGAAGACGGCCGTCTGCCTCCAGGAAACCACCAGACACCACGAACCACCGGCTATGAACTCGGGGGGGGGCAGGGAACAGGCCCCTCCCAACACCACAGAGGCTTTTCCACCTTCTGGAAGGGTCTTCCCTGTGGGTACTCCACTCTCGTCTTCGCTGCTGGGCTCTGATGCCCTCAATACAGGACCTGCCTGTCCATCTGTGTCACAGCCAGCACCCAGTGTGATGCCGCGGGTCCCTCCGCAGCTCAGGGTGAGCATGGGAGAGCGAACTGAAACAGGCTGAGGCCCCCAAGCACACATTCTGACCAAACGTCTGTACATGGTCAGGCTCGGAGATTTCTCATCTCCTAAAATATCGATTTTTACTGCCTCAAAATACAAGTTATGCTATAAGAAAGATGACGCTTTTTGGAAAAAAAATCCATATCCCTAGAAAAAAATATTTTAAAGGTCATTTCAAAGTAAAAAAAAAAAAACCTAAAAACCAAAACCCACACATACACATGTAATGAAATGTCTCCGGCACAGCAATATAAAAATGTACAAAATCAGTTCCTTGGTTACCAGTCACACTATAACTCAACCCTCAACGGAGAGAAGTATCATGAACAGTGCTATTCAAAGCCCCAGTGCACTCCTGGTATTTCTTTCCAACTCAGAAACTGTCAGGGAAGTACAAGCAAAATCTGCTTTTCCCTACGTTCCCAAAGGCAGACAGCCACTTACCTAACTTCTGGCTTCACCAAAAAGCAATTACATTAGGTAAGCAATCGTCCCTAAGATTAGCCAAAAGCAAACTGGGCAGTTCCCGAGGTCTTTCATTTAAACAATGTGTTAAGAATGGGAAGGTCTGCAGACGAAAGAGTTTCTACATCAAGTGTGAACACACAGCATGTTCACACGGTCAGAATGTGACGGGGCTTGAACGAGTGCTAAGTCAGCACGTGTGTTTACTAAAGCCAGGCCCGTGACCCACACCTGTGATCCCCACACTTGGGAGGACGATCGAGGAAAACTGACGCATTTCCACGGACAGGCTGAGCTACAAAGCGAGACCATGTCACAAAAATTAAAAACTGTTTACAAAGCAACCCTTATATACGTCCTAACCACCCATGTGTACAATTTATTCTGTAATTCTTATTAGTGCTAGGAATGTTCTTCTCAAATGACCCCAATTATACAAACTAATCCGCAACTTAAAAAGTTACGCGTACATACAAACAATCGGTCTCCAAACGCACGACACAGGTCACCCGTGTGTGTCTGCTCCGTGTTGGGCTCACAGTGGGCAGTGTCCCTCCCTGTGCTCTGTCAGGGTGCTTCAGTAAAATGCGGTTCTCCTGTTTCAGATGTCTCGGCGACACCTGCCAACAGCCTCTAAATTCAGATTTCCCACTGGGCTGTTTCTGAAGCCTTCCAGCTGAGAGTCACCACAGCAGGAGCCCATGCACGGCAACCCTGCCTCCTCAGCACTGCCCCGGCCTGCTGTCCTTGCAGAGGGCAAAGGGCAGTGGGCAGCGGTCAGAGGACCACAGTTAGCTGAGGCCGGCACGTGACAGGAGAGTTTGCAAGTACCAGAGCCGAGATACCAGGCCACGCCCAATTTAGGATGCTGCTATCACAGGCCAATGTTGCTGGTAGCCAGCCAGTGCTCTTCTAGTTCAAAAGCCAGTAAGTACACACAGGGCATTATTAAATTAAATCCTGACGTGTTTATTATTAGCTCACAAAACAAGACCTCCCCCAAAGTGCTTGCTCCCCAGAAGCTCCAGGTTTCAAAACACCGTCAGTCCAGAACAGTGTTTCTCCGAAAGGCTCTGTGCTCTTAATAGCCCTTCAGTGAGGACTTCGGGCAAAGTCCACTTACTCATTTCCATAATTTGTCTTATAGGACAGTCCTAACCCATTCTTCCTTGACACTACTGGCCATTATATCTATTAGAGACTTGTAAAACACACACCACATCACTACCGAAAACATCTTACTGCAAACCAGCTACAGACCCAACAGGGGTGCTTTCAACGGCAGAAGTCACGGACTCGAAAGTCAAGAATGAAACCATTAGACTCGACAGTCAAGAATGAAACCATTAGCACGATGAATTCAGAAGTCTCTGTCGAGAGTTCTTCTCTCCGACGTTTGTTGTAGTGTCGCTGCTCAGGTCCAAATCTGCCAAAATTAAAACCATTATTTAGAAAGGAGGACTAACAGGGAGCACTAACGCCACCTAACTGTAAGAAGGACTTCTTGCATACACCGCTTCTTAGTCTGAAGTCGGACGTCAAACCGTGGCTTTGGGAGTAGCCAGCCACTCTCTGGGTTGTAGAAGGCCTGCCCCAGAGGAAGGAATTCACAGAAAATGTGGCCCCAAGCCCACAGCTCAGGAGGTCCCAGGTTTTAGAGAAGCTAGACGGACATGTTGTCAAACTCCCTTCTAAATATATACATTCCTACCCTCAGCCTGGGCCAGGGAACCTTCCTTCCGTGGTGGGCAGCGGTCGTCACCGCAGACTCGCAGCCGACTAAAGCGCCGAGAGCAAGTGAAGTGACCGTCCAGTGCTCAGTCCTGAGCGAGACACCTCTGCTGGCCCCCAGCCCCTAAACCAAAGCTCGGGGAATGCCCACGAAGAGGAAAGAAAATTAGGGGCAAGGGGGGCAGGGGACAATGCTGGCTTCTGAACACGCCATGGCTTGTCACTCCCTGCAGCTATGGTCAGCGGCACAAGACACACCCAACACGGTCAATCAGCGTCCTTTAGCTGTGCGCAGTGAGTCACAAAATAAGTCAAATAAACAAAACTAGAAGGGTAGGAAGGTAGGAAGGGGATACATTGGGGGCGGGGGGAAGCTGGATATGATATCAAGATACACCGTAAACATGTATGAAATGTCAAAGAACAGGCAGCCGATGCTGAAAAGAGGGAAAGGCAGAGGAGGGCCAGGGGGTGGGAGGTACAGGCAGGAAGACAAGGCGAAGACAAGGGAGCTGGAAACGGGCGGAGCCAACAAGACACAAACAGAACCACCAGGGGGCAGAAGCACAGGTTCATCCTTGTTTGGAAACGAGGGTAACGGGAATTTGTTCTCACACTTTCCCCCGGGACAACACTGGGGCAATGGTTCAAGTGACCAACAAGGTAAAGACAGCCCAGGGTGCCGCAAAGGTACGCTTGTCCAGAGCCAACTGTACCTTTGAACTCCACCGTCCGGCTGCCCTGGTCCTCTCCCTTGACCTCTGAGCACATGGGAGTCTTCCCATCCATGACGTCCATCTTGATCATGCCTAGGTTGGTCAGGAGCAGCATGGGGTCGATGCCCTGCCCGTTGCTCTTAATGTTCTCCAGCACCTTAAGACACTTGTACGATTTGAGCTCGCTTATGTTCTCTTCCAGAAAGAGGTTGTAGAGGCTCAAGTCGTTGTAGCCTTCAGACTTGAAATGCAGGACATCGAAGGTGGGCAGGATTTCATACACCTTGAGAACGTCCGTCTTCTGCCGGAAGGGGACGAACAGCGTGTAGATGACCACGGGAACCAGCAGGGCGTACACTATGAGGTTAATAAGGCTAAGCAGCTGGAAGATGCCCACAGCGATGAGCTTGCACTGGAAGCGGTCAGGGATGGCGCTGTCATTCCTCAGGACGCCCGATTTAATGCTGCACAGAAACTCGTCTGAGAGCGAGGAGAGGCTGAAGTAATAGCCCAAGTAGACGCAGGCCAGCAGTATGACTGCGAATGTCACCAGCCGGCAGCTAATGTATTTCATGATTAAATGGCTAGAGTTCTTCTTTGTCTTCAAGTACTGCTCCACGATTGGGTACTTGAAGTGGCTTTCAGATATCTCCCACAGACTGGAACACAGAGCAAACAAAAGTAACTGAGACCCCTGTCAGTCTCAGCAAATGTCAAAGGACGTGTTCAACACTGTCACAGGGAAAACTCCAAACACAGTCATTATAACTTCACCCAAGTACTAGGGAATAAACCCATGCTTAAAACCGCTTTTTCTTCTTAGTACTTTAAACATTTAAAATTGTATATGAGTACTTTGCCTGCATGTGTGCAGTGCCCTCGGGAGCCAGAAGAGGCTGTTACGCCTGGAACTGGAGTTGTAGACAATTGTAAGTCAACATGTGGACGCTGGGAACCAAATTCAGGTCCTCAGCAAGAGCAGCAAGTGCCCTTAACCATTGAGTCATCTCTCCAGGACCCCTTTTAATATTTCAGAGACAATCTGGTTGATTAAGTGTGAGTTAATACTTAATAATTTTTAGGGCAATGCTGGTACCCAGGGCTCAGTGTCTGTTAAATAAATTTATCAGATCTAGACTAGCAGCTGGCTATTATTTTTAAGCCACACTCTCCCACAAAGTATGCAGAATAAAGTGAGGAAATTTTAAGACCACTAGAACACAGGCTTCTACCAGGGAGGGTTGGGAAAACTCGGTGGACCCAAATGGCATTGTCAGGTCCCTGGCTCTCTTGCAAGAGACTACATGACAGTGTTTATGTATTACCTAGAAATAAAAGGGTAGAAAAAGGCAAACAAACGTAGTTACTGAGTCATGCTGCGCTCGCGAGTCTGGAGCCGTGGTGGGTAGTTTTATGTCAACTTGACAGAAGCTGGAGCAGTTTTACAAGAGAGAAGGTCCCGTACCGGGTGGGCCTGCGGACAAGCCTGTGGCTCATTTCCTTGACTGCTGATTGACTGATGTGGGAGGGCCCAGGCCGCCGTGGGCAGTGCTACCCCCGGACTGGCAGTCCTGGGTGCTGTGAGGAAGCAAGACGAGCCACCTAGTTAAGAGCAACCCAGTAAGCAGCAGTGTCCCGTTCCCCGCACCATGGCCTATGTCCGAGTTCCTGCCCTGATTTCTTTCAACAAGGGACCGCAGTGTCGAACTGTTGGCAAAAATAAATCCCTTCTTTCCCCTTCAAGTTGCTTTTGGCCGTGGTGTTCCACCACAGCAGCAGAAACCCTGACAGGAACACAGCGGGTGGTTTTAGCAATAGGACAAGCACTGCCATTGTTGTTATTACCAGCAACGACAGAACCAGAGGAAGGATGTGACAAGGTCTCCGCCTGCTGGGTCCTCTTCTCTCATCCCTCTTAGAACATGCTTGGCTGCCTCGGAATCCGCTGTGCTTCCCCATTAGCGGACATCAAAGCAAGTAAGCCTCAGGTCAGGCTTTGGTCTGTCATCCCCACCAGAGCTGCTTTTCAAAGGATGGGACTGGACAGGGAAAGGGACCCTGACCTGAGGGCAGTGTGTGTGTGTGTGTGTGTGTGTGTGTGCGCGCGCGCGCGCGTGTGCCCACTGTGGGTTGGCGGTAGACACCCCACTCTTGGCAGTCAGCACTATGGGCCAGCCTGGCAGGAGAAAGGGCGGGGGACTTATCCCAGGGTGGCTAAGGGCAGCGCCCTGGAGCTGCTGTTACCTTTGCCCCACATTCTCATTCACTCCTGGCGGTCCGGGTCCGTCTCTCAGGTCCAGGTCCAAGTCCCGGGCGCTCTTGGCGGCCTTGATGGCGCGGTTGTAGACTTTGTCAAGCTCTTCCATGATGAACTTCAGGTCGGAGCAGAGGTGCGGCGCTGCGGCAAAGCGCCAGAAGAGCGTGGGCAGGTACAGGAGGATGGCGAACAGCAGCAGGATGTAGGGGAAGAACTGTAAGGGAAAGAGCCAGCCCAGCCACGGTCAGCGCGCACGTGCTCAAGCTCGCAAGCTCGCTCACAGCAGCCGGCAGCCCGCCGGCTCGCCCGCCCCGCCCGGAAGCGGTCCTGCCTCTGACAAGAGCTGCTCTTGTCCTGACTCCTGGACACACGGGAGCAACCCCATGTCACTCGCGGACACCAAACAGTATTTCCTGAGAGGAAGAAGAAAGAGGAGGAGCAGCGGAAGAAAATGCACACACACACACACACACACACACACACACACACACACACACACACGCACCCTTCCTCCCCCTCCCGCTCTGTAGTACGATTCCCCAAGAGAACCGCAGCTAAGGAACAGGTAAATGGCACGGTGACCTTTGCTGGTCTTTGTTGCTGCTGTTTTTTCTCTTTTATTTGTTCTGGTTTAAAGGTCTAGGTTTTTGTTTTGCTTTTTTTTCTTCTTCTTCGCTGAAATCTGGGAAAATGCCGAAGAACCACTCTAAGAAGGCGGCATCGGTGGTTCAGTAATTACCCTGTAAAGCAGCTGGAGTAAGCATCTAAAACCCACAGGATGTGTGTGTGTGTGGGAGACCTTCACAGCTGGAATAGACCAGAGCCTCACCACGGTAACAGAAGCGACAGACACAGTGCCTCTGACCCTCAGTTTCCCTCGAGAAACAGATGTCACGACGATGAACCCAGATCACTCTGGAAAAGACGATAAACAAGACTGCTGCCCGCGGGCCATAAGCACCGGAGAGCGCCAGGGAAAACCAAGCACAGAGCTTCCTCCTAGGCCTTCTGAGGACCCCAGGCCTGTGAGGAGAGCTCCTACCCCAACAGGGGAGAGGAAGCTTGGAGTGGTCGCTGGCCTCAGGTCACAAAGCCGGCAGGTGACCCAGTTGGACTATGACCCCCAAACTACAACTCTACATGCTCTACACAGTATTATATTACATTGTTCCAGCTCCACAGCTCATGGTGGTGCCACCAGGGTCATCCTAACTGGACACACATCCTCTCCTTAAACGTATCTAAGAGTACATGGAGCCTGCGCTAGGCCTACGCTGTACCTGCCGTGGGAGAGCGAGGCTACAAATGCACTGGGTATCCCCAGAGCCCCGCCAGCTTGTCCACACACGGCACACATGCCAGCTGGCGTGTTACCGTGAAGAGAAACCTCCTCCATGGCCATGGCCGTCCTGCTTCCCTTTCCAAGGCCTGGCCCCGGGCACATATCACTACCCCTGCAGCTGTTGGGGCTTTCTCAGTTCCTTTGGTTGTGACCAAAAAGTGCCTTGGTTTTCGCTTGTTTCTAAATGCATGAAGCAGTACATTGGGCTCACAAAGGAAATGGGTGTGCCGATGCAGTTACCAAAATGTGGAAAAGTCAATTTACATGCGCTTCTCTATTATTAGCCCGGAATCAGGGCCCGGTGGACAGTCTGTTAGCTACTACGGAGCTGAGGTGGGGATGGGGGAGCCACATTAACCCAGACACAGTGAGCCTTCACTGGGTGACAAAGCCCTTGCTGGCTGTATCCTCCCTGTAATTCTCATTGCTAACTCTAGAAGAAGTTAGCTAAGGAGAAACAGGGCAATCATCATCTGCTCACAGATATCCTGGAATCCCTGATGTAGCAGGGACAGAGGAGACCCAAATGGATCCACATTCTGTAGCACCCTCCCTGAGGCCGTACTCTGGGGCTCGCACAGGATGAGGCCCTTCCGCGCTAGCCTGATCTGCAAAGAGCTGACACCCAATGGCACACTGTAGGCTGGGCGTCGCTGGTCCAGAGCACAGTTAGCAGTGGTCATTCCATCCCTGTCTATTCTAGCTACTGTCTATTGTGAAAATGAACCTGGCAGCCAAGCTGTTTCCAACACTGGGACGGCCAAGCACTTTTCTCCGGGGGCCATAGGCGCTGGGACCATTTCTAACTTGGGCTCCCAGAGATATTTTTATGGGCCATGCTCGTTTGGGGGTTATTTGAGTAACAGCATTTACCTTGGACCGTTCCCCTAAAGTAACAAGTGTACAGTCTGTCAAACACGCCTGGCATTAGCCCACCGGGCAACTGCGGAATGAATGTTTAGGGAGAGCACCTGCAGTTTCCCAAGTATCCTCGTAGCCTGGTTGCCTCTGCGGGGATGCGTAGAAATGCCTTGTTGGTTGGTTCCCTAGTCCTACACTCTCCCGTGCCCATCAAGAACAAAGGGGCCATTCTACATATCCTTACCACGGCAGCCAAATCAGTCCAACTGGAATATGAATGCAAGAAGTGTTTGCTAAGTTATAGCCTTTACTATCCTTTTGCCAGGGTCAGAACATGGGGAACCAAGGTGTCTGCCTGAGGGGAAGGTCTGCGGCCAGCGCTGCCTGCTCTGCTCTGAGGTGGACACCACTCAAAGCTCTGTGTACAGCGTCCCTGTTGGTTGGCTGGTCGTACTGCGTTCTTCCCGAGACAGTGAGACCCTCACAGGGAACCACGCGGCCGCTCCACCTGCAACTCTCGGCCTGTCTTATGTTCAAATTTGGGTTGCTCACGGAAGGGTTGGGGGTCATATGACCTCCACGTGGAGGGACCTGAGGTGACCCATCACCTGCTACGGTCTCTTTCTTCATCTAAGGCAAAGATCCACGCTAGCAGCTGAGCAGTGCCCCCCAAGGCACATGCCACTTGTCTTACAGGATTAAACGGGGACGGGATGTGGGCTCAGAAACATTCCCAGCATCTGCTCTGAGCCAGGGAGTGACAGGGTGCGTGGCCCCCACCCTCCCAGATTCAAGGAGCACCGTCTCCCCAAAGGCCACACACACACAGCCCGGCAACTGGAGCTCACAACACAGCGAAGCCGTAGAGCGTGGGCACTTAGCACAGAGAGAACAGAAAAGTCCCCAAGGAGAGTGGCCGGAGCCTTCGCGAGAGAGGCGGACCCTTCTGCCTAGTACACCGAGAAGCAACTTCGTAAAAGAAAAGAGCAAACAAAACTAGAAATGTGGCTGTGCTAAACTGAGGTTGCATTTCTCCTCCTCGTGGCCCGTCCAGCATCCGATTTCTTCTGCCTGGAAGCCTTCCGTCTGTCTGGTGAGTCCTCACCCACCATCACAGATAACATGGGAACAGCGTAAACAGCGTGAGGACGTAAATAACGACACCATAAATAACACGAGGACCCTCGAGTGAGGAAGGAAAAAGAGACGAGGCTGGACGGTCGATGGGCTGAAGAGAATCCCTTTAAAGTCCAAGAACCGTGGACTTTGCGGTTAAAAGGACCCAGGTTCGATTCTCAGCACCCACGTGGTGGTTCACGACTGTAACTCCAGTTCCCGGGGGTCTGACACTCTTCTGGGGAGGCAGGCAGGGTTTGCGGGGTGTGCAAACATACGTGAAGGCAAAAAGAAAAAAAGAAACACATAAAGCAAACAAACTAAAAGAAAACAAAACAGAATCAAGAGAAACTGCTCAGAAATAGGGTCGTGGTGATATAGCACTCAGAGGACCACACACAGGGAGGAGGACCACTCACAGAGAGAGGAGGACCACACACAGAGAGGAGGACCACACACAGAGAGGAGGACCACACACAGAGAGGAGGAGGACCACACACAGAGAGGAGGAGGACCACACACAGGGAGGAGGAGGACCACACACAGAGAGAGGAGGACCACACACAGAGAGGAGGACCACACACACACACACAGAGGAGGACCACATACAGAGAGAGGAGGAGGACCACACACACAGAGAGGAGGAGGACCACACAGAGAGGAGGAGGACCACACACAGAGAGAGGAGGACCACACACAGAGAGAGGAGGACCACACACACAGAGAGAGGAGGACCACACAGAGAGAGGAGGACCACACACAGAGAGGAGGCCCACACACAGGGAGGAGGACCACACACACAGAGAGGAGGACCACACACAGAGAGAGGACCACACAGAGAGAGGAGGACCACACACAGAGAGAGGAGGAGGACCACACACACAGAGAGGAGGACCACACACACAGAGAGGAGGACCACACACACAGAGAGGAGGATCACACACAGAGAGAGGAGGACCACACACAGAGAGAGGAGGACCACAACCAGAGAGAGGAGGACCACACACAGAGAGGAAGACCACACACACACAGAGGAGGACCACACACAGGGAGGAGGACCACACACACAGAGAGGAGGACCACACACACAGAGAGGAGGACCACACAGAGAGGAGACCACACACACAGAGAGGAGGACCACACACAGAGAGAGGAGGACCACAACCAGAGAGAGGAGGACCACACACAGGGAGGAGGACCACACACAGGGAGGAGGAGGACCACACACAGGGAGGAGGAGGACCACACACACACAGAGAGAGGAGGACCACACACAGGGAGGAGGACCACACACAGAGAGAGGAGGACCACACACAGAGAGGAGGACCACACACACAGAGAGGAGGACCACACACAGAGAGGAGGACCACACACAGAGAGGAGGACCACACACAGAGAGAGGAGGACCACACACAGGGAGGAGGACCACACACAGAGAGAGGAGGACCGCACATAGAGAGAGGAGGATCACACACAGAGAGGAGGCCCACACACAGAGAGGAGGAGGACCACACACAGAGAGAGGAGGACCACACACAGGGAGGAGGACCACACACAGGGAGGACCACACACAGGGAGGAGGACCACACATAGAGAGGAGGACCACACACACAGGGAGGAGGACCATACACAGAGAGGAGGACCACACACAGGGAGGAGGGAGGGAAGCGGGAGGCATGAGATGCTTGCACTCAAGGTAACAGCTGAGAGCAAGGGAAGAGCAAGGGAAGCGGACGCCCCGCGCACGCAGCAACCAGCACACACGCGTCCCTTCCTCTCTGCTCTCGACTGTCTCAAGTCCTGCTGCCTCGGCTTCCGCAGGGACGGACTAGAACCCGGATGCGCACGCTGACACAGACCACTCCTCCGACAAGGTGCTTCCTTCCGGTCTAGGC